AGGCCTAATGTTTTGATTTGTTTTTAGATAATGTTGCACCTGGATGTGGTATATAAACTGCAGCAAGCAAATAACACACATAGTGGCGAATCCAAGGGGGGGGGGGGGTAGCGGAATTGTAGATTGTATGTTTTATCGAGTATCGTTATAATGATAAATGTCTTATGGAACGGGTCACTCAGGGCTTGTCCCGAGACACAGTTAATTATTCTAAGGGTTGCAACCCTCCCTTTGGCTTTGCAAAAAAAAAAAAATAATAAGAAAGTTCAAAATTTTTGTTTGTGTTTTTACCAGAGAAAATAATGAGTGAAAAGCTAAAGTTGTAATGTATAAAGAAATTTGGTCGTCAATGCAAAATGCCCCCTCCCCCTTTTTACAAATACAAATACAAATATTTTTTTGGCATAAACACAATTACCTTAATTGGAAACGTAGTACTGAGATATATTTTCCTTTCTTTTTCAAAAACTGTTCTGGTAATCCATACAAATACTAGTACTTTTTCGCAGGTTTATGAACCTCCTACTTAAAAAAAACCATGCTCCACCCGGTATCATATTGAGTTATTTAACTACATGTACGTGTAAAATATTTTTTTTTCCTCTTCAAACCCCGTGGTAACCGGTTTGTTCGCCCGATCTACCTGTTCCCAGGAGTCCGTTCGCACAGAGTCCGTTCACCCGAAATATTTTTCGCCCGATATCTACATTATATTACGGCGAACAAACCCTGTGCGAACAAGTTTTAGGGCGAGCGGACTCTGGGCAAATGAGAAAATAGGGCGAACGGGAAATCGGGCAAACAATTTTAAGGGCGAATGAACGTGGAACCTACCCCCCCCCCCTTTGAAAACTCTTTCAACCCTCAACAAACAAATACCCCTCTATCCTGTCCATAAGATATATGCAGATATAAAGAGGCTTATATTTACATCTAGAATGCAAGACTGAAATTCCCAAAATGAGTTGTACTAAACATATATTTACAAACTATTTATTAAAATCAAAAAATATTTATTGAATGTTGTATTCTATACTTGCAGGTATTTGCATGGCACTCCATTATACCACACTGATGGCTTCTCCAAGATTATGAATATGATACATGTAAACAGGTAAAAAAATCTAAGAGAGAAATATTTGTTGCAGAGCCTGAGGTGCTGTAAACCATCTTTTATTCGCGGCAACTTTATTTCACGATTTAACAGGGATAAACTAGTTCGCGACCTCTAATTTTCACGATCAAGCCTTTATACATTTGTTTTTCATAGACAAATATACTTTTAGGACCGGTTCGTGGGGAGAAATATTCGCGATGACAAGGCTCTCGCTAAGTTCGCGAAAGTTTCTCACACGCAAATAAAAGTTGGTTTATAGAATTCATTGTTTTATAAAAAGGATATTGTTATTAAATGTATAAAAATTTTATTATACATGTAGCAAAACCTTAACCATTCAGCTTATTTTTGCTTATCTTGCATTTCTAATATTGTGTAGACTTTTCCTCTTCCTCGTGCGTATCTTTTTTCCACTTTTCCAGTAATTGGTTTTGTATTTCTCCAGTCGAATTTTTCTTTTTTTTCTTCCTCCATTTCAATATCAATGTTTTGGAAAAAAGATACGCACGAAGAAGTGGAAAAGTCTACACAAATTTGGACCAAGAAAAGGGAATTTTATGATCACTATAAAGAAAACTATGGAACCGTTGACTTGGACAGAAACCAGAAACCGAAAAAAAGCAAACCATTGAAATCAAACCAGAGTCAAGAACAAACATACTGTAAAACGTATGCCGAAAGTGTGAGTAATAACACCATTCGACATGGGAAATTTTCAAGCAAAAATGGAGACCGTCCCCAACTTCTGTTGTCCAAAGTTACCATAAGAATTCTAATTTCAATCAAAATCAAAGGAACCAAGGACTACAGGAACCGAGAATTCAGCAAGAATTTCCCCACAACAATAAGGCAAACTACAAACGCAAGAACAACAACAATAACAACAGCAACAAAAAGAACAACCAAGGTAAGCCCTTTTTTGTGGAAGGGCAAAATTCAGAAATATCGATGGAAAAGCTGGGCGTAAAAAAAGTGGACCCAAAAATCATTAATATTTCAAGTAAAACGTTTACTCAAGAGGAAAAAGAATTATTAGAAAAGGGCTTTAAATTTACACCAACACCCAACCCCGACAATCAAAACCTAGAAAAGTATATAAATGAATTCTGTAGAAAACTGCGTTTAAGAGAATTTTTTGGACGGGTTGATAAAAATGACGATTGTATTGTGAGAAATAAAAAAGGGACGACAATACAAAAAGGACGTAACAAGGATTTAGATGACTATATAGATGTTCTGAAGTCTACAAAATCATCTTTGCTAAACAAAAATCCTGTGAAAAACAATTTGAGTGTAAATCATGAAAAGCTTTACAGGAATTACAAAAAAGAAACGGAAATTATCTTCAAGGAAGCGGACAAGGGAGGAACAATAGTTTGTATGGACAAAACATTCTATAAATCCCTAGTTCTTCAACAACTGAGTGATGATAATTTCTACATCAAATTGTCTGATAATCCTGACAAAACAATCATGAGACAGCTCAAACAATTATGCAAAAAACATCAAAATTTATTTGAAAAAAGGATGAGCTTGACTATTTAATAAACTTTGAAATGAAAACCAGCAACTTTTATGGCCTACCTAAAATACATAAAAGTAGTGATATTAAAACAGCCATAGAGGAACAGAACGGAACATACATTACTACTCAAGAACCAACAGATCTGTAACTTCGACCGATTGTGGTTGGTCCTGCGTGTCCCAGTCATAGACTGAGTAATTTTATAGATATACTCTTGAAGGATCTGTGTGAAAAAGTCCCGAGCTACATACGAGATAGCATGGATTTTTTAAACAAAATTCCCGAAAACATGGAGCCAGATACACTACTTTTAACCTTTGATGTGAAGAGTCTATATACTAATATTCCACATGATCTTGGAATAGAAGCCATAAAATTTTGGATTGAAAAGTACCCAGAGTTAATTCCAAGAAACATTTCTTCGGAATTTATCCTAGACTCAGTTAGAATTATACTGGAAAACAACACATTTCATTTTGATGGAGATTTTTATAAACAGATCAAAGGAACTGCCATGAGGACTAAAATTGGACCAACGTACAGCATCCTTGTTATGGGATTCTTTGAAGAAACATTGTATCAAAAGGTTTCCGATGAATTGGGCCAAGAGATTGGAAAACATTTAAGGGATTATTGGAAACGATTTTTAGATGACTGTTTCCTATTTTGGAACAAATTAGAAGAGGATTTACAAACACTCTACACGTTACTAAATTCAATAAATCCAAATCTTCAATTCACAATGGAGCACAGTGATTCCTCTATTCCTTTCCTTGACGTCATGGTCACAAAGCAAAACTCACTTATTTTGACGGATATTTTTTATAAAACCACGGATACGCACCAATATCTAAACTTCACTTCGTGCCATCCTACTCACACCAAAAGAAATATCCCTTACAACTTAGCCAGAAGGATTTGTATGATTGTGAAAGATACCGAAACTAGAAATCAAAGGTTGACCGAACTAAAAACATTTCTTCTAGCACAACATTATCCAGAAAATCTTATCCTTTCTGCCATAGAAGAATCCAAGAAAATCTCGCAGCATATTTTAAGAACAACCAGAAAAAAGGAAAAAGATCCATTCTTAATCCCTTTTGTAACAACATTCAATCCGAAACACATTAATATATTTCAAGAGGCAAAAAAGAATTTTACCATCATTGAACGGGATAATGATCTTCCACAACTTATACCGAAATCGGATTTGATTCGCAGCCAAAGACAACCGCCAAATTTAAAAAGACTATTGACCAGAGCTAAATTCAACACCATTCCAGAACAATATTCCGTAACAAGATGCGGTAATCCGAGATGCGGTACCTGTCCTAACCTACGACCAGGATCCTCTATTATTTTCAAGTGTGGAAAAACATTTCTTGTGAATGAAAATATGACCTGTAAGACCAAAAACCTCCTTTATTGTATTACGTGTAACAACTGCGGAGAGGAGTACATCGGCCAGACCGGGACCCAATTAACCGCCCGCATGCGCGTACATCGCCAACAAATTAACAATCCGAGCCTCAGAAACACGCCATGCAGTGAACATTTTGATATTTGCTCACAAGGAAACTACTGTGTGTTCCCCTTTTATAAACTTAGGAACGATTCCACTGCAATGAGATTAGCAAAAGAAAACTACTTTATAAATCTTTTTTCACCAAAACTGAACAAACATTGAGAAATTACCTATTTATACCGGCACTTTCTAAAGAAGGTTCGGGTATATTGTTGTTACTCGTGTCCGTCCGTCCGTCTGTCACACTTTTCTTCCCTGAACTCCTCTTACATTTTACACAGTAGCCTAATCATCTTTTGGGAGATGGTTGGTGGTGTCATGTAGATGTGCAGTAAGGTTTTGGAATTTTGACTTTGCCCCGGGGGGTCAAATGGGGGTCGAAAAATGACGTTTTTTATGCAAAAAGCCCCGTCTTCCCTGAACTCCTCTTACATTTTACACAGTAGGCTAATCATCTTTTGGGAGATGGTTGGTGGTGTCATGTAGATGTGCAGAAAGGTTTTGGAATTTTGATTTTGCCCAGGGGGGTCAAATGTGGGTCGCAAAATGACATTTTTTTATGCGAAAAGCCCCGTCTTCCCTGAACTCCTCTTTCATTTTACACAGTAGCTTAATCATATTTAGGGAGATGGTTGGTAGTGTCATGTAGATGTGCAGTAAGGTTTTGGAATTTTGATTTTGCCCCGGGGGGTCAAATGGGGTAGAAAATGACGACTTTTATTCAAAAAGCCCCTTCTTCCCTGAACTCATCTACATTTTACACAGTAGCCTAATCATCTTTTGGGAGATGGTTGGTTGTGTCATGTAGATGTGCAGTAAGGTTTAAAAATTTAGATTTTGCTTCGGGGGGTCAAATGGGGGTCGAAAAATGACGTTTTCTTATGCAAAAAGCCCCGTCTTCCCTGAACTCCTCTTACATTTTACACAGTAGCCTAATCATCTTTTGGGAGATGGTTGGTGGTGTCATGTAGATATGCAGTAAGGTTTTTGGAATTTTGATTTTGGCCCGGGGGATCCAATGGGGGTCGAAAAATGACGTTTTTTTATGCAAAAAGCCCCGACTTGCTTGAACTCCTCTTACATTTTGCACAGTAGCCTTATCATCTTTTGGTAGATGGTTGGTGGTGTCATCTAGATGTGCAGTAAGTTTTTGGAATTTAGATTTTGCCCTGGGGGTCATATGGGGGTCGAAAAAGGACGTCATTTATGCAAAAAGCCCTTTCTTCCCTGAACTCATCTACATTTTACACAGTAGCCTAATCATCTTTTGGAAGATGGTTGGTAGTGTCATGTAGATGTGCAGTAAGGTTTTGGAATGTTGATTTTGCCCGGGGGGAGGGTCAAATGGGGGTCGAAAAATGATGTTTCAAAAATGTCTTTAATCATTTCTTTAAAACTAAGCGATATACAAATTAAAAAGGATGGAGGTCAAGGTCACAGGAATGTGCAAGATGAATTTTCTGATGCAGTTGAGTAGCTTCACTAATACATATCAGCATATTATGTTTGATAAAAATATCTTGAATGATTTAATGAAACTGAGCTTAACACTTTTTCTAAAAAAAAGGAGGTCGAAGGAAAGGTTGGGGCCAAAATGTTGTTGCAGTTGAAAAGCTTTCATCAGTATGAATTTACTATTAGCATATGAAGTTTGATAAAACTATAATTAATGGTTTATATAAAACTTAGATAAACACGTATTTTTAAAAGTGAGGTCAAGGTCAAAGGAAAATTCAAGGTCAAAATAAGTTGATGTATTAATAGCTCTCAGCAGTATGTATCAGCATATGGAGTTTGATAGATATAACTTGAATTGTTTATTCAAAACTGATCTAGACATTAATTTCAGAAAAGTGAGGTCAAGGTCACAGGAAAGGTCAAGGTAAAAAGAGTGAAGCATTGTAAAGCTTACATCAGTATGTATCATCATGTGAAGTTTCATTACACAACTTAAATGGTTTCTTTAAAATAAAGGTAAACACTAATTTAAAGAAATAATAAGTAAAGGACAAAGGAAAGGTCAAAGTAAAAAAATATTGCTGCAGTTGGATATTTACATCAGTATGCATCAACATATGAACTTTGATAAAAATATCTAGAAAGTTTCTTTGAGTCCGATGGAAAGACAGATGGAAGGGTGGAGGACGGACATGACAAAACTATACATGTATGCCTAATCATGGTGTGGAATAAAAAAACTTGAATCTACATTATATGAGGATGTTTCCATCTATCAAGATTATACAAGCAAATTCAAAGAATTGTGGTTTCTGTGCTTTAGTGAATGGGATGCCATAATTTATGGCAGATTGTGTGTCAAATATGCACCCCTATCATATATCAATTTTTGAAAAATGGGTCAAAGGGAAAAAAATCATAGCATGCTCTGAACCATTTTGTTGCAGGTAATGTACATGTCAAATATGAAAGTCCTACCTCTTTTGAATCAAAAGTTATATATACAACATAATATTTTTGAAAAGTAGGTTAAACTTCTAGGTCAAGGTCACAGAGTCAAAAGTCATGATATATTTAGAAAAGTCTTTTCACATGTAATAAACATGTATAATTTGAATGCCCTTTCTTTTCATTTTCAAAATGATCAATTTAAAATGTCACTAGTACTAGTACTTAAGTTGGGTACGTGACGCAAGCTCAATGCGATGCAGGTGTTCAGATACATCTATAGTGCAAGAACAAATTTAAAATTATCATTTACAAAAGATGTTTTATTTTAACTTTGCCATCTAGGCGTATTTCCAAAAACAGGCAAATAAGGTGTGTTTGTGTGTGTGTGTTGGTTGGAGAGGGGTGGGGGTTGACTAAATTGATTGTGTATATGGCAGCTTTCAAGAAGTTTCTGCCTAATCAAATATAAATAAACTTTGCACGTTTTGAAAAATTCATCAAAAACGCTTTACACTAATTTGAATAATATCATTTTTTGTTAATCTATATTAGAAAATAGATTTAAAAAGTTCCAATTACCGTACAAGTAGATTTTTTAGCGAGGATTTAATTTTGGCATTAATTGCGAGGGTGCTGACATCGCTAAAGTTGAATACCGCTGAAAATTAATTGCTTATTATTTGTAAAAGCTTCTTGAATTAGCATTTTAAATTCGCTAAAATTACTTCTCGCTAAAAATAAAATAACAGATTTTAGGAAGAAATCGCTCAATTTGCGTTTCGCTAAAATTTCCACTTATACAGTAATACAGTATGTGCCAAAAATGTATACACCCCCCTTCTTATCAAACCTAATTTACATCATGAATTTAATTCTGTTTGTTTAATTTCCGACTGGTAATCAATTATGAATATGAAATACCAATAACATGGAGTCACATGGTCACTAGCGGCAGATCTGTAGCGTTATGGTTTTATATATTAGTCTTTGACCATAAAGCTACAGCTCCTGTAATGCAAAAAAGGTGCAATTTACGGCGCAATATTTTTTGCGCACTTCTGGGGAGAATTTCTCCACTTTCCTGCATCGGTTAATTTACTACCTTTCACTCCCTAATACTAGGCACATTGTTTAACTAATCTGTATATTTTATCCATCTCCAATCCTTTTATAGTCTTCTCTACACGTGATAAACTCGCTTGATTAAAATTATTTGTTAGATTGCTGAAAATTCACATCAAGCGAGTTTATTGCTTGTAGAGATGACTATAAATGGCTTGAAGGTGGACAAAATATACATATATTGGCTACAGAATGTGTCTAAAATTAGTGAGTGAAAGGTAGTTGATTGACCAATGCTAGAAAGTGGAGAAAAACTGCCCAAAAGTGCGCAAAAAATATTGCGCCGTAAATTACACCTTTTTTGCATATGGGGATCTGTAGCGTTATGGTCAAAGACAAATATATAAAAACCATAACGCTGCAGATCTGCAGCTACATGGTCACCTATGCTCAATTTGATGAATACATGTATTATGTAAATTATTGAATTATATTGACTTTTTCCTTGGTTAAGCCCAATATGAAGAAGTGTGCATTTAGAGGCAAACACCTTAGTGTGGGTATTACTATCTCATGCCAGCATCTAGTTTTATTTACTATCAATTAGAATTTCTTTTTACTTTGTTTATTGAGACTTAAAAATATATGATTTATTGTCCATTATTGTCCAATTTGATTTTCCTTAACTTTTACGTAGCGTAGCCATACTATGACGTCATAGATTACTTCCTTCCCTGCAAAGACTGTCATGACGTCATAGTTAACGTTACCAAGCAAAACAATCTGTTCAATTTATGTACACCTGAAGACGGATTATGAAATCCAGAAAGCGCTTGTCTTAAATGAGATTTGGAAACTGCATTTTCTTTTTCTTTTATAATTATTTTCACCTGTGTGACATCGACTGTGAACTATTTTCAACTATATATATATATATATATATATATATATATATATATATATATATATATATATATATATATATATATATATATATATATATATATATATATATATGTTTTTTAACAGTAAAAATGATTTTCGAGATTTGTGATTTCTGACTTTTTTTCATTGGATATATTTTACTGTACCAAAACACTGGATTTTTCTTAAATTATATATATATATATATTATCCCATGTTTCCCACTATTGTTGATGCCCTGGCATACTCTCAAAACTAGACAGTGATTCCTTAAATATATATATATATATATATATATATATATATATATTTTTTTTTTTTTTTTTTTTTGGTATACCGTTTAAAATCTTCTTGTCAAGTTCTTCAAAGCCATTATTAGTGATATTTATATGGAATCATCCTCAGGTAGTTTCCATTCTAGTTTGTTCAAATCATGAACCCCTGGGTGGGGTTAGGGGTCAAATTCAAGCCCCCCCCCCCGTACTCAGTAAACTTTCAGTTCTGATCTGATATGTGCTTTTTCCTAGCTCAGGTGAGCGCTGTGGCCCCTGGGCCTCTTGTTTTATCCTATGTTTAGTTGTTTAAGCTTTTATATATGCCTATATGACAGCTTAAAGTAAGGACTGACGTTTCTGAAATGCAAGGCAAACTCAAAGGTCAAAAGGTCAAAATTGTTAGCATCTGAAGGAAGATTTAGTCATATGGAATAAACCTGTGAAATATGAGACATATAGTATTAACTGTTAAAAAGTTATGGCCTAGATTATAGTTTTTAAAAGTGGGTCAAACTTTTAGGTCAAGACCAAATTAAAAAAAAAAACTCGTTGAAGGGTCTTGTCACTATGATTACAAAATAATGTGAAGTATCAGATTGATAGCACTACATGTTCAAAAAATATAGCCTAAGTTAAAGTTTAGGGATTTTTTTTTTTTTGTAAAAGTGGGTCAAACCCTAGTAGCAAGGTTAAGAGGTCAAATTTTATAGTACCCACAAAAAAGTTCTTGTCACAAGAAATACACCTGTGGAATATGAAGCCATAGCTCAACCCACTCATAAGTGATGGGTAAGGTTAAAGTTTTTGCAGACAAATACCGGTAGACAAAAAGATGAACATACAGTTCAAAAACAATATAAACCCAAGAATCTTTGATAACGGAGGCAAAATTAGTGTATAATTATTTTTTCATGACCGTTTCAATAATTACAAAGATTTAAACTTATTAATATTGCTTTAAAAAGTTAATCTTGTTATTTACTTTCATAATAAGAAGAATTAATGAGTTATAAATTAAATTCATGACCTGTCTTAATAATATTTTTAGATTTATTTCTGTTCTTTGCTTTACAGTGAGCTTTCGCTGATGGACACAAATTGTTCAGAAAAAATCCAGCTACCACATTAATCACAGCCATAGATTTCTGGCGTGCCTTCAGTAGGAACATAGATGCAATGGTAGGTAAATTTTGCTTTTAAATTCCCTTGCAACAGATACAAACTGCATCATCAGATCTGGGCCAGGAAACAGAGACAATATTATATCAAGGTTTGTTTGAAACCTGACACAAGATTATTTTGTTTAAAGTCATTTGCAGGAAAATTGATTTCATTTTTTGTCAATAATTTTATACTTAAGAAACATTATATACTTTTAATTATAATTTATGATGTATGATTTTGAATTGATTATAATTGATGATGTATGATTCTGAATTTTTTAAAGATCATTTACAGTGTAGGCAATATAAGTTCAACCTTATACTAAATTGAACATAGTGATGATATGAGTTTGCTATATACATGTATACATTTGTTCATATTTTATGTTATCTTGATAAATATGCTATGGAAATATTGACTTTGAAAATGCAGTTGTAAAATTCATGACTGTATTTCATTTACCGGTACCAAGTAGTCATTATAATTATTTTCTCTTGCAGATGAAACATTATCTCCAGACATATGGGTGGCCCTTGAACAGAGAATTGTCAAAAATTGAAGCATTCAATAAAGAAGATTAAGAAACAGAATGTGTCTATTTGTTTGTTCATCAAAAAAATAACTTGGATAATCATAGTGGTGCTTCCTCAAAATCTGCATGTGTTCAAAATAAGCAGTTTCAAATTAAGATATAGATAAAGCTCATTCATTCATTTGCTGGATCAGATTTTGAGATTGTACTTTTTGCATTTTTTTGAATACCAGTAACAGTGAAACCTTGATGATTAGTTGTACTAATTCATATACAGATCTAAGTTTTAGAATTTCTTAATACTCTTCATCAAATGGATTAAAAGAATTGAAAGTCCAATATACTAGAAAAAACATATACTGTGTACATGACATGGATTTGATATGGATATCACATGAAATTCGCACGAAGTTCATATGAAAATCTGTAAAGAAAGTAGCAAAAATATTCATATGAATTTCGCACGAATTTTTATTCGCATGATATTCGTGTGAATTTCATGTCAAAATCGCATGATATTTTCATGCGAATATCATAAGTGGTCCTTTTAGTCTCCTTTTAATGCGAAGAATTCGCACGATATTCGTGCAAATTTCATATGAAGTTCATGCGAGCCACTTTTGCCTGTGTAATAGCAAACAAAGAAAGCATTTTATTGTTTAAATAATCTGTGCTTTATGCATTGTTTCAAGATTCTCATGCGAGGGTTGTTCGTTTTTTTAAATAAACTACATGTCAATCTTTGTTATACTAATTTCACGAAATCTAACTTGAGCACACCATATGTAAAAATATTTCCTTTGTTTTTGTTTGAAGTTTCATTCGATGTGATTTATAAGGTTTCTGCTACATAATATTTTAATCAGCATGTTTAGCAACCACTGAAATACTTAGCAACTGTTTTAACGTCAAAGACGTAGCGTAATGAATTTCTCAAAAAGCTTCCACTACACATTTCACACAGTCTGGCCCAAATACCTGCACATTAAAAAGCGATTCTTCATCACTTTAAATTTATAATTTTTGCAGTAGCATAATTTTGTCGCCAATTATGTATTATTTTTCCGCCTATATGTGATTGCTCAAGATCAGAAACTGTGAATATGTTTGTTAATGATGTTACTCACTCTTCAGTGAATACTATAAAGATTTCTTACAGGCATTCAATTTCCTCACACATCATTCTAGTTTGTTACAGAGTCTCTATCATTGAAATACTGCATTTTACCTCTAGACAGATGTTTGGTTCGCTTTTCTCGCAATTTTGATTTTATCCAGCATCTTTGATGATATAGTTGCTTTCTTTTTTTATCGTTATCAAGTTTTATTAAATTTAGTTTGGTTCTTTTTATTTAGGTTCCGTTATTTACATTATATATATGACAAATTTGGCAGTGAAATAACATTGATTTTTAAAATGATTAGATTTTATTTAACCTAATTGTTTTTAAAATCTAGGCCATTCTGAGGCTGAGCAACGGAGTGTTGAAACAAGAGATGATGAATGCATTGGAAGGAAGAACATAGAAAACATAGGAACATAGGAAAGTAAGTAATCAACAAAAATAAGCTAAAGAATCAAAATGTTCTAATTTGATATTTTTTTGGTATTAAACAGGTTTATGAAAAATATATTTGCGAGGGTTGTCCGAAAAAATCATGGACAAGATAAAATTCTTATAAAGCTGTGTCATAGACATTTCTTATTAGTTTATTTATAATCCTTCCCTAAATATGCATTAGAAAATATAAAATCCTTTTTTTTTTATTTCAAATATATAATTATAATTATTGCTTCATTATAAGTCTTAGGATGGTGACCCGGAGAACTGCAAAATTTTAATTAAAGATTAATTTTTCACTACATTAATTTCATATGTATTTTGTAAAATTCTACGGAGATTAAGTTGCTTTTTACATTATGAGGTTGAGTAATAAGATCAAACCCGAAAAGTTTGAAAGTTCAAATTTCGAAATGGTTGAGAATTCGAGGTTACAATCTTGTAAGACATGGTCGGCATATTTCGAAAAAAAAGTGGAGCAGAGAGCAGTTATAATGTTTTGCGCAGACATGAAATACAAACTCCATTAGACATTCATGAATTCTGTAAATATTTGGTCAAATAAAGTAAAGGAAGTCGTTTTTTAAAGATTTTAAGTGATATATTATATTTTCGGACGGAAGCAGAATTTTACAAAGTGACATGCATAAAGGAAGACAATCAATCCGAGATTGTAGTGCTGTAGAATTGAATTTCGTATTGTGACTTTGCCGGTGTTTTCGTACATAAACTTAGCCTTTTTTTTTACTCGGACAGAGGTTTGTCGATTTTCAGGATCCGAGACAGAAAGTTAGATATTATTTTACTTATGAACCCTGATCAGTTTGTCAGAAATTTTGATGACAGGTTAAGTGACATAGGAAATAATTGAGTTAGACTATGAAAATTTTAAGAAAAGTAACATTTATTCTGACTTCGGGTAAAGTAAAGAATTTTTGTTTTAGTGCTCCTGGTACGAACGTGTGTTTTTCCTTGTATCTGAAAAGTATATAACTATTTCTGCTTTGTTTTTGTTTTACAAAATACATATTTATAAAATAAAGACTGAAATTAATGCGAATAATAGTGTCTTATATTATATCAATGTTTGTCAGTAATTATCAACGTTGTCCACGAACTTTACGGACAACCCTCTTTTATCGTAATAATTAGCTTTTTTAATGTCAAACTTAAATAAATACAAAATACAAGGCTGTAAGAAATGTGAAGGCTTACTTGGTGCAATTTTAATAATTCAAGGTCACGTGAATGACAGAATCTATGAAAAAAGTCATCTTGCAAGGAAAACAAGACTTGGTTACCAAGGCTGCAGAAATTACGTCAAAAATGAACTCCAGCCTCTTTTAATATCAACTAATAGCAATTTTGGAGTACTTGTGTGTACAATCAGAGTGATCTTTAACAATTTTATTTTGTTGATTAGCAATCATAAGATAGGAAAACAAGGCAATTTAAATTTACGATATGCATGCATTTGAAAGATGATGTGAATTGTCATGGAAATCAAAATTTTTCCTAAAATGATGTCAATTTGAAATAGAAGTTGAGCATTTAAAAAAATAATGATGTGTAAATGTATTAATGCCTAAAAGATCAAGTAAGTTGAGCTAATTTAATGTAATTGTACCTTACAAAGAACTTTATTCGGTAATAACCAATATTTGCCCCCCACCCCCTAAATCAAACTTTGATGGAGATATATTCAATTAAGTTCTTAAACAGGGGAATATATGATGACTTCAAAGCACTGAATATTTTCATAAGTAATGACGCAATATGTACGTAATGACGTCACAAACATGACGTAAATTTAAGGGTTTTTTTAATTTTACAGAAAAATGTACATATTTCGTCGATATTTTCTGTAAAACTCACCGAGCGCATGTGTGTTCAGGATTAACATTTTTATATAATGTGTAGAATGATAATACCAATGAAATATGTCAATATTGTTCCTGAACAAACTTGCGCTCTATAAATTTGAAAGCTAAAATTGTTGAAATTTTGTTTATTTTGTCCTCTTTCTGTGAAAAGGATATAAAATCGAACTAATTTGTGACGTCATAAAAACAAAAATTGTGAATACACTGCTTTGACACTATAATATTTTCTGTTAATTTATATTTCTCATACAATTTATTGAATTCAGCGCATTCTAGGAAGTTTTTAAAATTTGGCTTTTGTGGGGGCAAATATAGGCAATATACCGCATATAGTTCTTTGCTTTTTTGTTACTAAGAGCATACTAACAACAAACCCAAATTCTATATGTACATAGTCACAAACATGCTAAAAATGTCAATTTAATGTAAACGGTATCTAAGGTGATTCGAACCTGTCGTGAAAGTAATTGGAATTTTAAAAGATGGTTATTTTCGGATAAAGGACAAGTTTGTGGTTTAAGAATCATAAAAAATTATATATGTTAATGCGCTCGTTTCCATGGCAACAACCTCTGGATATGCCCTTGTTTGAAAATGTAAAATCTGTGAAAAAAATCCCACTGCCAGTAAAAAAAAGTATTAAAAAACTTACAAATTATCATCAGAATTTATTTATTTTCATGTATAAAAAAGGGTAACAGATCAACATCATCTTATTATTTTTACACATAGATAGTACACTCCAACAACATTCTACGACAGCCTGAATTTCCTCTGTCGTCTTAAAAATTGCCCATTTTTTCTTAACCTTGACAACAAAAATGGTTATAAAAACACACTAAAAGTAATTGGATATTTATTTTCTAAACTTTATTTTAAATAAGAGATATATAGCTAAGTAACAGAAGGGAGAAATTGGTATGGTCATGAGTCAAATAAAAAGAAATTCTAATCCGAATTTCCTCTGGTCTATTTTTAAAAATTACCCCCGAAATACATATATTGGCAATTGTGGCTATACAACTTAATCAAAATTAATCAATGTCAATTTATTTAATAAAATATTTTAAAAACAAACTTTAAAAAATACTTTTGAAGAAAAAATAAAATAAAATTTAAAGAATTTTAAAATTTACATTTAATTTCCGAATTTCCTATGCTCGTTTTTTTAACCTAAAACTTTTGATTTGATTCTTGGCGAATTAAACATATAACACAATATCAAGATACAAAATTTTTCATAATTTTTTAAAGATTTTATATGTATACCTAATTCAGAAAATAACACTGACACATATTTGCACAGTTCAGGTGAAAAAAGTGCACATTACAAATCCGAATTTCCTCTGAATTTTTAAAATAACAAATCAATAATGTAAAATGTTTGCCTTAATAAAAACAAGAAATCTGTGAGCCAATGCTCACTAGTTATACCCCCGCTCCGATGTAAATAAGCACTATCATGTTAATATACACAAGTTCAATTACAGGCGGATGCACAGAAAAATATGAAGTTGACATCAGATTCATATCAAAATTAATCCCATTATATGGCATGCCTCAACAAAGAGTGTAATAAAATTTCAAGCAACCGCTATGAATAGCTAATGAGAAAACTGCGACGAAAACTTGTTATGTGTGAAACAGACAGACGCACAGACAAACAGGAAGTTGATATCCGATTTGAAAAAAAAATGTAGCTAAACGTATTGCATACCTTAGAGAAGATTGTGTTAAAATTTCAAGCATCAACAATGAGTAGTTGCAGAGAAAACTGCGACGAAAATTTGTTATGTATGAAACGGTCAGATGCACAGAAAAACAGGAAGTTGACATAGGATTTTAGCCAAAATGTATCCAATCATATGGCATGCCTCAGAGAAGATTGTTTTAAAATTTCAAGTATCTACGATGAGTAGCTGCTGAGAAAACTGCGACGAAAATTTGCTTCGGACGGACACAGACAGACAGATAGACACACAATGGTAATACAGTATACCCCCTCTCCTTCGGAGTGGGGTATAAAAAATATATATCCATGGACTGACCTTTTTCCTGCCATTTGAAATATTATATATCATATTGGAATATGGAACATAGTGATATACATATGACCCAATTTCAGTAAATTAAGAATAAGATCAACGGTTTACAATCCAAATTTCCTCTTTCTGAACACACACACACACACACAAAAGGAATTTTAAAGATTTTTTTTTTTTTAAATCTAGAAAAACAAATGACAAAAATGACAAAACACTTATATAACATTTTTGAAGAAGTTTTCCCATTATATCACAAATATATTATTTTTATCAATATGCCCAGAAAAACTGCTTAATCATGCCGGATATAGTTATGTTCCACCAGAAACAGTTATATTGCCCTCCCAACACATTTATGTTCCCTGGCGTGCAATCATTCTGCGTATTAAATCTGTCAGGTTCGAAATTTACAGAGGCAGTTGCTAAACAAACAAAAATTTCTGCTAAAATTAAAAAGTCGGGACAACATCTGTGATTTGTTTATTTGAATTTAGATGAATTAAATAATTTAATTGAGGAGAAAAAATCCTTAAATACAACAAAGGTTATCAACTTGTCAGTATACTGAAAACTCTCTGCCATGAAACAGGACGGAATATTTCTGAATTATACTCAACGTACATGTTTACCTAGGCCTAGTGTTCAATAAATATGTTCGATGATCGATTAGGATTCAATGTTTAAAAATGTTATATACCATATATAACATGGCTTAATTCTCGGGCATTAATACCGGAATATTTGCCCCTCTGTGACAGGAAAACCCAGAAGTGTTATGTCGCCCTTTGTCTTTGGCATCGGGTGACATAACACTCCAGGGCTTTCCTGTCACCGAGGGGCAAATATTCTGGTATGCTGCCCTTGAAGCCATGTAATATATGTATAATGTATCATTGCTTAACTTTTGCAAGCTTAAACTTAGGACTAACATAAATGGGCACACTGAATGGAAAAAAAGACGGATTTAGTATGACAAAAGTTCCTCAAAAAGTGTATCATTTACATGTTTGCAGCAGGTCTGTTCATACAAAAGTGCTTTAAATCTTATGGGAGGTTCTGACACAAATGCTTCTTCCCTTTATTTTTCCAACTTCAGTCTTGACTTTCTTTGGCTTTCAATTGGTAAAATTCTGATGAACATTTTAGGTCTTTCATTGCAGCTCGAGTGTAAACACCTCAGTCATGTTGACATGTGGCCAAATTCAACACAGATGTGATTCTTAGCCTGAAAAAAAACTTTAGTTCAGTTACAGCCTTTTTGACAGGTGGACACTGAATACACAAGTAATAATGTAACATCTATTATAAAATTACCTATTACTGACTGATTATTGATATTCTAATAGTAATAGTTCCAATGAAATAAAAATAGCATGATACCTACAAAATAATATTTACATTCCACATGTATTTAGCCTATGAAATGCATAGAATTTGGGGCATATAATACAATATTACATTGACAGTAAGGTCAAAAGGTAAATAAGTTTTTTTCAATTTTATGTTTATGTCACAAACCTTGAATACCATGCAACATCATATGGGAAAATCAAAATTCACTCTCACATCGAAGAGTTTAACATTCATTTAGTAGATTTGGCATGGCTCTTTCATTAATATTTAATCTTACCCCAAGGATGATACAAAGGATTTTGAATTACATTAGTTCTGCAGATGATACAGGGAGTTAAAATACGCTGTATTCTTTGAATTCGCCCAACCGAGGTCAGGGTGAAAGGGGCAACAATAAAAGGGGGCGAAATTTCCCGGTATACAGTAATATGTACATTTTATCAGTCTGACATGTACTTTCTCTATGGCAAAAAATGAGTTATACAAAAAGGGACTTAAAGCTTTCTTCAAGTTGCGAAAAGACTTCCTTAGCTTAAATCCTGGGATATCCACTAGCCTCAATGTCTTTGATCACACAATTAAGCCTATATTACTTTATGGCTCAGAAATATGGGGAATATTTAATGTGAATAATTCAAAAATAAAGCAATCTAATCAAGTCTTGATGCAGCTATGCTACAAAAACTTTACTGGAGAAAATTTAAACATCAAGTTCTGTAAAACCATATTAGGTTTGAATAGGAAAAGTATGAACCATGCTTCTCTTTCAGAACTAGGTAGATATCTTTTACACTATGATATAATCAACAGGTTACTTAAATACTGCTACAGATTAGAAAATTTAAGATCAGATTTTCTTTTACTGAAAGATGCATTTATATGTAGTAAGGAACTTCATTTTGCCCAAAAAACATCTTGGTACTCCTCAATAGAAAAATTATCAAAAATTCTTGATATCCCAAACATAATGTCCTATACTAAGAGTAATTTTATGAAGTCATTGAAACAATCCATGAATAAAAAAATACTCACTTGATTGGCAACACTTAAATGAAACACTAAAAGAGGGCAAACTTGTCACTTATTTATTTCTGAAGAACAATTTTAGACTGGAAAAATATCTAGTTTTATTAAAACCTAAATACAGAAAGCCAATTTGCAAATTACGTGTATCAGCACACAGGCTATTCATAGAATTGGGCAGATATAATAACACACCCAGATCAGAAAGAATATGTAAAAATTGTATGCTTAATCAAATTGAAGATGAAGAACATTTCCTTATTCACTGTAGCAAATTTACAAAGGAAAGAGAAGAGCTATTTAACCTGATCTCATCTAAAGTAAAACATTTTACAGAATTGCCTGATAAACAAAAATTATTCTGGATTCTAAATTGTGAAGAATTAGATATACTAAATTCTCTTGGAAATTTTTTACAAAAAGCATTACCATAAGTTTTAGGAATATGACTTAATGTATGCATAGATAAATGATGTACTGTATTAGTGTATATATACCTATAAAACAATTCTTATGTACTGTACATATAAAATATTTTGGGTATTCCCCTACTTGTATATATGTCTTTCCTATCAAGCAAGCAACCCTTTCCCTCATTTGTATATGTATATTGTATTGCATGTGTATGATAATCATTATATACATTTTAACAATGTACCTTCTTTTTGCCCCCCGAGGGCCCTTAATTGGTCAATAAATTGAATTGAATTGAATTGAATTGTACTATAATTATTTTAGCAAGTTTACTTTTTAAAATTTGAAAAGTTTATCAATTTAGAATTATAATTTTTTCATACCCAGCCAGATGGTTTCAGCATCACAGTTGTCTTTTAGCACATCTGGATCAAAGGGATTATACTGCAAAGTGTTTATTCAGGTTGTACATTTTGACTGCTTACTAATGGAAACTCCAGTCTGTTCCTTTGGCGGTTATTAAAAACCTATCGAGAAAAACAAATCACTTATCTGACAGTATTCAACTTACATGTGAATTTTATAGAATTCTCTGAAAATTTTAGACCTTCGTTTTTATAAATTACTTCCGAACAAAAACTAATAAATGAATGTGTGCTGTAAACAAGAACTTAGAATCAGTGTCCTCAATAATGTTTCATAACATGAGAATACATATAATATAATAATTGGTCAACTGTTTTTTTTTTAAAAAAAAAAAGACTTTTTATCATGTTATTTTACACTGTGTGTCATTGCATCAAGTTTTTAGGAAAGACATCAACTCATATTTTAAAAATTATAAACATGGGAGCTATTTTTTACAGTCACTCAATGACAAATCATGAAATGTGCATGATTTTTTTGCTATTTTCTCATTTGTGTGAATAAATTCTATAATGTTTTAAAGGACAAGTACAAAATATCTTTATCAAGAGAATAAGAACTCACTGCATCAATGGTGTCATTGACTCATTCTATGCACTGCCCATAGCAGCCATGTGAATTTTTTTTCCTTCATTTTCGAGATGAGACAAAAGCGTACCTAGATCAGATTATACTTCTGCATTTACTCGATGAGCTAACCTTTCATCATGATGTAAATAAATTGTGTCTTCTTAGAAGACATAGTAAACAAAAAGTCTCGGTCGGAACGTTTTGTTGTCTTTACCTGAAAATCATGGGGTACATCTTGATCTTGTCGTGCATGTTGTACCTAGAAATAAAATCGCCTGAACGGTTGTTGCAAGGTACCAAACAGCATAGAACAGTACACTTCTTGGATACAAAAACAACCGAATAAAGTGTTTTTTCTTTGAAAAAAAAAGAGACTGTCTCTCTGTCAACATGCACAAGATGAAACACATCCTTTAAGCCTGGTTTAATGGTGGCTTATAGGTCCTTAATGGTGGTTTAATGGTTGTCTTTAAGTCACCATTAAGTCACCACTAAGCACCTTTAAGTAACATTTACACCACCATTAAGTTACCATTAAGCAATTTTAAAGTCCTTAATGGGTGCTTAAATGTAGCTTAATGGTAGCTTAATGGTGGCTTAAAGGTCCTTAATGGTAGCTTTTAGACCATCATTAAGTCACCATTAAGCTACCATTAAGCCACACTTACAGGTGCTTAATGTCCAAACTCCATTAAGCTACCATTAAGCCACCATTACGCAGTCGATAATACTGTTTTTATGGGTGAAAAATTATTTTTATAGTGAAATTTTATCACAAAATTTAAATGTCGAGTTCACACATATCTTGATTTGGTAAAAATGAGGAAAAAGAAGGAATTCAAAATTCAAAGAAAAAAAAAATCGCCGCGAGCAGGGCGCGAACACATGACCTTCCGCTTCTTGGACCCTCGCCTTAACCACTAGGCTATTACCGCTCTTATATATTCTGTGAAATATTAAACCTTTATTTTTCTTAATTTTTTTTTTTTGGACTTGTAAAAGTATTTTGTTGAACGTCTCCAAAGTCTTGAATTGATTTATTCATCAAACTATAAACATTTTTATTTATAGATCTTTTTAAAAGGCTTAAATCACATTAATATAAATTTCTAAACCGTTGAGTTCGGCTTTTAAATTGTAATGAATTTATTCGAAGATTTATACGTGTAAGCATTAAATCATGATTGAAATTAAATTATAGATAAAACACAAAAAGATCTGTCATCGGGAAAGAGAGATGAATTTTTTTAATAATAAGAATATTCTGCGGATGTTAACGGTTTTTGTGTCTAAGATTTAGGCCTAGTGACAATCCTCGTTTACGAGTGACCTGGTTATGTTTACAAAAACTTTTTTACGAATATCATATTCAGTTAAAAGTCTTTTTGTATCATAATGGGTATCAAAATAATTGTCATTTTAAAATAAATCATAATTTTTAATTTGTAATATGCTTGCATTAAATTTAAATTTTGTAAAAATAATTGATCATCAAAATCTGTAAGTGTACGTTGTGTATGTATAGTTTCCTGTTAGTTGACCGGGGACGGTGGACACCTAATTAAGGTCTATTGTTTAACCAGTCGGTACTGTACACTGTTAATCTTACCCCGGTTCCCAATGTGTATAATTCTGATCGGCTGTTCTTCTGAAAATCGATTTTGAAATAACAATGATTGAAGACCGACTAGATTTTGACAGATACTTACCTCTGCATTATAAAAAAAAATAACGAATTAATTCAAATTATTCATGATGTAAAAGTCAAACTTTGAAAACTAAACATTTTTTGTACCTGTGGCCCCAGCCCGCCCCCCCCCCCCCCTTCTCCAACAAAAAGACAGATTTTTTTTTCTAATGAGAACATGACTTTATATTCCTGGGAATTATGCAGCAGAATATGTTGTTTTTAACACATGAAATAAAGATATCATCTCTTTTTTTAAAAAAAGTAATATAATTATATTTTGTGTTTATAAATAAAAATAATTTTAAGAACATATTGATTTTCAGTAATGAGAAATTAAGATATTTCACAGGGGGTTGGCCCCGGCGTGTTATAATATAATTAATTATTTTTTAAAACAAAAATCATATACACAAATTATAAAACCGTATGTAATAATTATTTATTTAAGAAAAAATCATATGCGGTAATAAGATAAAACTTCTTTTTTTATGATACTTTAAATGATTAAAAAAATAAAAAAATATTAGAAACCGGGAGCAAGCCCCTGTTACATGTAGCTAACTTTATTCTCAATGCCCGAGATTTTGCATGTTGACAGAAATGTTATTTAAAATTACGATTGAGACAAAATTATAATTCACAACAAAATAGATTTTGCGTAAATGACATTGAAATAATTTTAAAAGTTAGATCAAAGATTCGATATAAAATGCGTAAAACGTAAAAGTTTAATGAAGTTTGACCATTAAGTCACCATTAAGCTCGGCTTAAAGGTGGCTTAATGGTAGCTTAATGAAGTTTGGACATTAAGCACCTGTAAGTTGCAGCTTAATGGTGGCTTAATGGAGTTAACTTCTTTAAGCACCATTAAGTCACCATTAAGCCACCATTAAGCGATTGCTTAAAGGTGGTCTTTCGTCTTGTGATGGTGGCGGAAAACGGCCAGGGAATTGTCGTAAATTCCTAATGTCGGAAGAAGACTCGAAAAGCCAATGTTGCATGATTTTATCAGAATTCTATTGAAAATTACTTTATTTGTCTATCAGTCGTTGCTTGTGGTCCATTAAATTACTTTCATAACAAAATGAGACGTAATAATGAGTATCACGACATCAGCAGTGATCAGCCTATTTTCAGCAGTTCGAGTTGCGCGGTAGATTTGATTTCGTCACGTTCGAATCACCTTAAGTTTTCACCATCTAGTAATTGCACTTATTCAATGTATTTCAGGTATTTTTTCAGCTTGTCATATTATGTGTTATTTGAATTTTAACCCAGACCTATACATCAGATAAAAAAAGCCTTTGTACCTAAAATATGTGCTGATAAATTCAGTAAAGTGTGCAAATTTTCTTTTTGAATTTTTTTTTTACGAAAATGGAAACGGAGGAAATATTTTTATTATTACATGTACATAGTATGCTATTTAATAATGCAACGGGTATGGAGACAATGTTTGAAGAAGTAAGACAACACGTCAATTAAGGAAATTGATATTTTTCAAGTTAAAGAAACAGGAAAGGAAACAATGGGCTTATATTATACATCTCTGCTCCCAGTCTTCCTGTGGACTTTTGTACAATTCTTTCTTCTTCTTGAATTTTTTTTTTATTTACTGTTAGTAGAAAATGTAATATGTTTATAGGTTTATGGAATTCAGTGCGTCAGTAGTGGTAGGAATTGCATTTCCTGCTCTTGCAGAAATTTCATTTAGAACTGTTTTTTTAAAGATATTTGTTTAGTAACCTTTGAGGTGGGGGAAAAAGGCTTTGCCTGCTGCTCATTCCCATTCACATTTATTTGTAAATAAATGGCTGTATGAATAAAAAAGTATAAACAATGTGAAATGCCTTCAGAAACACAATTATTTGAAAGTCAGTCTCTCGAGAAAGAAATTATATTACATCGTACCCGAATGTTGCCAAACACTTAACCAACTGCAACATCTGCCACAAGAAGACAACTTTAAAGACAATTAAAACAACTATTATAATCAAGCTAGACAAGAGGAAAGTCGGCCAGGAAGACGGATTGAAAATTATTTTGTTTTTTTTATCAGCTAAGAAGTGAAACTGAAAAATGCCACGGAAAAATTAATGGAATACTTTACCAAGAATTTACACTAATGGAGTTAGTGACCTCTGCGACCTTGGGTTGGTAAAAAGCGGGAAATAATAATTTTTCCCAGGACGGTTAAAAACACATTGTGACAACTTTGGAACTTTGATTTACTATAGTAAAAACTTTGGAACTTTGATTTTTTATGGTGAAAACTTTGGAACTTTCATGGAGTACTTTATTACCCTTGGAATTATGTTTGTGCTTCGCAGTCTGTACATTTTATGAAATTTAAGGTTAAGATTCAGAAAACTTTTTTCAAAGCCCGACATGGCTCCAAAAAGAAGAATGTATAGGAAATGAATTTTAATGTTATAATTGTCTCTTGCACAGATAAATAAGAAATATTTATTTAATTTTATTGCTGTGCAGATAAAACGTAATTTTTTTTATGGAGAAAAAAATGAATATAAGATTTTATCTGCGTCATTTAGAATGAAAATATTTCGTTCATTGGATTCAGTCAACACGTTTTTTTACTGTTAAATGTAAACAATGCATTTACATTAATTACTTTCCATACTGAAATTAGGATAAACAACAATAAAACCAGGCCAAACAAATCAAATATCCCCTTAAAAAAGCTAAATGATAAAAAGAAAAAAGTTAATTTAACTGTATAAGTTGTGAAAGTTACAAAAATTCTTAAAACTTTGATTCACTATAATTCAAACTTTAAAACTTTGATTTACTATAGTAAAAAAAAACTTTGGAACTTTGAAATACTATGGCGAAAACTTTGGAACTGTGATTTACTATGGCGAAAACTTTGAAACTTTGATTTACTATGGTGAAAACTTTGAAACTTTGATTTACTATGGAGAAAACTTTGGAACTTTGATTTACTATGGTGAAAACTTTGGAACTTTGATTTACTATAGTAAAAACTTTGGAACTTTGATTCACTATGGCGAAAACTTTGGAACTTTGATTTACTATAGTAAAAACTTTGGAACTTTGATTTACTATGGTGAAAACTATGGAACTTTGATTTACTATAGTTAACTATAGTAAACTATAGTTAACTATAGTTTACTATAGTATTTTTTTGTAAGGGTATTTCCCGGGAAATACTTGGAAGCAAGACATAGTTACTTGCATATATATTTAATCATCTTGTTTGGCTAGAAACATAAAATACACATTAAAGTCTTAGATAAGATAATAACGTTGCACATGTATTACTGTTCTTTCTTAAACAAAATTGATTTCCTAATGTTTCATTTTAAATAATCATAAAATGGTTTACTCGTTTATCGGTCCATATAGGTAATCATTTTGGGTTGATTTATGGTAATAAAGAAGGATTTTAGAAGTCGTTTATTAAAAGTTGAAATTTGAGAAGTGTCCAATTTTTCAGATAATCAAATGAAGCTCTTAACAGAGAAAGGCAGTAGTAAAAACAGTATTGGCTTACTTAAATACCAATTTTATGTTAACGCCCCCAAAATCTACCTAAATCTAGATCAATAATTTACCGCCTTTCAATCATTAATAAAAAAAATTGATTCTGGTTT